CCAAAACGCTAGGCGCTGACACATCATCATTTTGGTCTTCCGCGTTGTCGTCGCTGTCCTGTTCGTCATCTAATATGTTCTTAATAATACTCTCTTCAGATGGTTTCTTGCAAATCGCCACACCATTGTCTATAAGAACAAATTCATCGAGTTCTTCCTTCGAAATCGGTAGCTGCTTTTTAGAGCTCTTGCCCAAACCGATAGAGGAATGTCATCCTCGATGTCAATATCGTTTGAGAATGAGCTGCTGGGACCATCTAAATTTTCTCCGGCAAGCCCAGAATGCTTAAAGCAATTCGCAATTGTTAAGGGGGTTTCCTGAATTAGGAGGCAAAAAAAATCGTTTTTTTTTATTACTTAAATCGATAGATAAACTATCTAAGAATATACCACAAAAATTTCAGAAGCCAATTCGAAGTATTTTCGAAGATACAGAGATGAAAGCAAAGGAGCGCCGGGTATGTTTGCAGGCGCTTGGCGAACTTTGAGGCCCGTTTTCTCACTTTTAATTTTTACGATTCTTTCGAATTGGCGGGAAAGATAACAAAAAAACTTATTGACCGATTGAAACGAATAAAGGCTTATTCTCTTTAGAATTAAATTCTCTTCTATTTGAACTAAAACGGTTGATGAAAACCGCTTTTTATATTTTTACAGCATGTTAAAGTCAATATTTCATTTTTCGGGATAAAATATTGACTTTAACATGCTGTAAAAAAATATAAAAAGCGGTTTTCAACAACCGTTTTAGTTCAAATAGAAGAGAATTTAATTCTAAAGAGAATAAGCCTTTATTCGTTTCAATCGGTCAAGAAGTTTTTTTGTTATCTTTCCCGCCAATTCGAAAGAATCGTAAAAAATTAAAAAGTGAAGAAAACGCGCTTCAAAGTTCGCCAAGCGCCTGCAAACCTGCTCGGCGCTCCTTTGCTTTCATCTCTGTATCTTCGAAAATACTTCGAATTGGCTTCTGAAATTTTTGTGGTATATTCTTAGATAGTTTATCTATCGATTTAAGCAATAAAAAAAAATCGATTTATATATATATATATATATATATATATTTCCCCATTTTATTTAAAAACATCATCTCGCAATAACTTTTCAACGGAGTGGTAAATCTTAAAGATTGGTATATATAACGCTTCAATACCTTTCGTTTGATGTATATATTGTGGTTATTGCTTATGCATAAAAATATGCGTATACGTAATGCTTATTACATTCCCCAAACAAACAAGGATACTAAATTTAACATTTTAACGTTTTTTTCAGAGAGTGTAGTTATTTTTTTCTTATTCGTAAATGGCTTTTGTTATATATATATATATGTCGGAGACCTAGGTGGTGGTGTTGGAGACATCGGTTCATCCTCCATGATTCTGCAGTTTTTCCGAGTTTCGCACAGCAAGTCGCCTGGGTGTGTTCCTTGTCCGTTCTGAAGTGAATAGCCGTTCACCTCCATTGCCATTCACCTGTCATAGGTCTCTTTTCCTATCTCACCACTCCAGTCTATTATCTCACCATGCTTTCACAGCACACGACTCAGCTGAACACCCCAGGCGCCATGCTCATTTGAGTTACACTCAAATGATGCTCACCTAACTCATCAGAATATTACACACTTCTTTATTCTACATGGGGCTCATTATTTTGGTTACATTCGAATTTAGCGTAGTTAGATTTACGAATCTACGACATATATATATATTAAAAAACTGATGTTTTTAAATTCAAATAAAATGGGGAAATAAAAAAATATATACTTAGTTTTAATATATATATATATATATATGCCACTTAAGGTGCAAGCTTTCCTCAGACTCGATTAAAAAACTGATGTTTTTAAATAAAATGGGGAAATATATATATATATATATATATATATATATATATATATTCCCCCATTTATATATATATATATATATATATATTTCCCCATTTTATTTAAAAACATCAGTTTTTTAATCGAGTCTGAGGAAAGCTTGCACCTTAAGTGGCATATATATATATATATATATATTAAAACTAAGTATATATTTTTTTATTTCCCCATTTTATTTAAATTTAAAAACATCAGTTTTTTAATATATATATATGTCGTAGATTCGTAAATCTAACTACGCTAAATTCGAATGTAACCAAAATAATGAGCCCCATGTAGAATAAAGAAGTGTGTAATATTCTGATGAGTTAGGTGAGCATCATTTGAGTGTAACTCAAATGAGCATGGCGCCTGGGGTGTTCAGCTGAGTCGTGTGCTGTGAAAGCATGGTGAGATAATAGACTGGAGTGGTGAGATAGGAAAAGAGACCTATGACAGGTGAATGGCAATGGAGGTGAACGGCTATTCACTTCAGAACGGACAAGGAACACACCCAGGCGACTTGCTGTGCGAAACTCGGAAAAACTGCAGAATCATGGAGGATGAACCGATGTCTCCAACACCACCACCTAGGTCTCCGACATATATATATATATAACAAAAGCCATTTACGAATAAGAAAAAAATAACTACACTCTCTGAAAAAAAACGTTAAAATGTTAAATTTAGTATCCTTGTTTGTTTGGGGAATGTAATAAGCATTACGTATACGCATATTTTTATGCATAAGCAATAACCACAATATATACATCAAACGAAAGGTATTGAAGCGTTATATATACCAATCTTTAAGATTTACCACTCCGTTGAAAAGTTATTGCGAGAATAATTTTAATTTTCAATTATTATTTTAAAAATTGAAAATAACTGTTATAACTCAACTTTTATATACAAATTGAAAAATAATTATTATTTTACAACTTTTTTATTAAATTTTAAAAATAAGAGTTAAAGCGCAATTAACAAATAAAAATTGGTTATAAAAGTTTATTTTATTTTTGAGAACTCCTTCAAAAATTATGGTATACCTAAATATTTTATCTTTCCAGCTCAATTTTTTGGTAGTAACTTTTATTTTACTCATAACTCTTATTTGCGATCCCTGATTTATTTTGAAAGATGAAATGTTCCTATCACAGCAAACTAAAATTTGTACACCTTTTTTTTTTCTTTCTTTCGGCTACTGTTTTGCTTTGGATAAAAGCTATAACATCTTACGATTTTTGATCAGGGGAAAGCCGCGAAACAAATAACTGTTTCGTTGGTGATATTACCATAATGGGTTTTGGCAAGGCAGACTGATTATCCACCTTGCCAATTTCGGCTTTTAGTCCGGGCCTGACACTCTGGCAGGGAACAGGACTGGGGCTTCGAGTGGTCACTTTTTGAGACCCTCCAGGGGACGGACGGAAATAGGTAACACTAGGAGCACGGCCACTCCAGCGACACATTCGGATACCGAAACTTTTTTAGCACTCGATCTCAGGATTCAGGATTCGTGGAGTTTGTCTTGATGTGGAGGGCTGTGCCGAGGAAGGCTGCTGCTGAGAGCCAGCCTCTGGTGGTTGGGATCCGCCTAGATGCTGCACACCAGTTGCGATTTTTTTTTTGTCCTAGGAGACTCTTTTAATAGCTTGAGCCTATTAAATTGAGTGTCCAGCGCCAAGAGCAAATCTTGTGTATCATCAAGTGTCCGGCAACGACACCAATGTACTTGGCGTGCACCATGTTACAGAGCCAACAGCTGATGGTAAATTCGCCGAAAATAGGCGAAAAAAATTCGAGGCAAACGCAGCAGCCCAAACTAAAATGTAATTTAAATTAAATTAAAAAACAAATGGAAAAGTTGCATGCACACCAGAGAGCTGCATTGAGTATGATCGGTCCGGATGGATCAACAACGCTCAAGCCGATCACAACTTAACACAGAAGATCGCCACAACATGCTCGATCGATCTTCGCGAACAAAACGAACGATCTCGTTCAGTTGGCTCGATTGCTCTGCTTCCTGATTCAAACTGATTTTTTGGTACCGGTATGATGATCGGAACTGATTGGGCAGAAAAAGAACGATCAAGTCCAACGATTCAAAAGAGCTCAGGCTTCACTCATGTTGCGCTTGATTAGATTGTGAATGAAGCAATCAGATCGAAAATAGCCTTGCGAAATGTGTGAATTTTTTTTTTTAACATTTGAGTGTTTTAAAAGAAACTAGTTGCGACGCAAAGAATGAAATAAAACAGATAACTTCATTTATTTCTTAATTTTTTACAGTTATAATTTAAATTCAAGTAATGCAGACAGAAACTTAATATTTAATTACGAAATTAATGAACAAACGGTATGCTTAAAATAATATGGAACACAAATTATCACTTTCTCACAAAGATAAAAAAAAAATTAAATTAATTATTTAATTTAGGTAACCGATCAAACTGCAAGTACTAGTTATGCACGTGCGTATGAGATTCTGCTAAATTTCGTCAGACTGAACCGAACCACTCGGTATGAGCAAATCAAAACCGGTGTTACCGAACGGTATGATTGCGATCGGCCTGAATGGAAGCAGCAGTCTTGATCATTCTTTGTTGCTCATACAACGCGTACGATCAAAAAAAATCATTCCGAACCAAGTCAAGGGTGATCGGAACTGAATGTTCGCTTAGATCACGCTTGCTAACGATCATTCAATTTTGTTGATGCAAAGTTTTGGCTCACAAAAAATCCGAGTCAATGATCGGGTATGATCGAAAAAATGTTGATCGTTGCAGCTCTCTGATGCACACGCGAAGTGAACGGGCACTCCGAGGGTTTTAAGGCAAATTCTACACAAATCGAAGGAAGAATTAGAACTGATATCATCTTTAAGTAAACGAAGTTTTTATGAATTTATTTAAAACATTTTTAAGTCGTTCCTATGAAAGCTACAGGATATAGTTTCCTGATTCGGATAATTTTGATCCAGTATTATCCAATAAGTAAAATATTACGATTGGTAAGGTTTCATGTGGAAACCTCTTTACCAAACAATTAGAAATGATACATATCGAATAACGGTTTGCCACCGCGGAACATAAAAACCCCCCGGTCATGTATTTTTTTTAGTCTTAAATCTTACCTTGTTCCTCCATAATACTGTTTTTATCCATTAGAAAATGAAGATTACCACGAATTTTTTCTATATACATATATGTAAGCTCAGTGCCTTTAAATGGTTGGAATCCATTTGCCATTTCGCAGCAAGTGATTCCAAGTGAGTATATGTCTATTTTTTCTGAGTACCCACAAAGGCTTTGATGCAAAACTTCAGGAGCTGTCCAGTTTAATTGTTGTTTTCTTCCTTTGGTGGATCCATATAGAAATCGTGATTTTCTTCCATGGTTAATAAAGGTTTGATAATCACCAAAGTTGGATATCGAAGCTTTCAAAGAATTTAATAAAATTATTTTAGCCCTTATTGCTCCATGTACAAAATTGTGAGAATGAATATATATTAGCGCTGACAATATGTCTTTAACAATAAGTGCTATCAAGGTTTCGGGAAATCCTGAAAAAATAATTTAAAAAATATATATATTAACAGGTTTTATTACTGATTTGTAAGCACCATATGGTTTTACAAAAATGTAAGGAAGATGACAAGATATGGCACTATCAATAAAACTTATAAAAAACAGATGCTAATATACTGCTCTAATGAATAAAAATGGTATTTAAAAAGTGTATGTAAATGCAAGAAAAATCTTGAAAAGAAGCGAGATTCTTACGCTGCAAACTGAACTAAAAATAATTTTTTGGATGTTAATTATAAAAGTTTTTATGCATTAGGTTATAAAATTAATTTAAAGACTTCCACAAACATAATGGCAGGAATACAGGATTGTGACCCTCTGTAGTCGTCGTCTTGTTCCTCGTGTCGTCAGTCTTCTGGCCATAGGGTTAGGATGACTTATCAGCAGTGTTTCCAATATAATGATTTCGTTTTCCCACGCCTCAATTCAGATTTGCCCTTCTCAGGACTTTTTTCCCTCAAAAATTATTTTGCTGTAGTTTTTAGTATAGTTTTTCCCCTTTTTCTTCCCCTCTGGACCCTAATTTCCCCTTAAAAGGGGAATTTTCCCTCATTGTGGAAACACTGAAAAGCTGTTATTCAAAAACTCAAGATATGCTCTTGGCGCTGGATACTCAGTTTAATAGCCTTAAGCTATTAAATGAGTCTCCGAGGGTCAAAAAAACAGCAACTGGTGTTCAGCATCTAGGCCGATCCCAACCACCAGAGGTTGGCTCTCAGCAGCAGTCTCCTTCGGCACAGCCCTCCACATCAGGACAAACTCCACAAATCCTGAGATCGAGTGCTAAAAAAGTGTCGCGGTAATGACCGTGCTCCCGGTGTTCCTCATTTCCGTTTAGTACCCGGGTGTGGTTCCAAAAAGTCACCACTCAGAATCCCAGTCCTGTTCCCTGCCAGGGTATCAGGCCCGGACTACCGGCAGAAAGTGGTAACGGCCCTATGATACTCATTAATCAGCCACTTCATTAGGACCTTGAAAGAGACAACTATATATGTTATTTTTCTTGGATTATTTGGGTACAACGACTACGGCCACACAGATCGAAAGAGGTAAACCATAAAAACGGCCGCCATTCGCGGCGTATTACTATGAATTTCTGAATTCCTCGTCGAAGTATTCACGCATAAATGAATGCGGAAACCTTTAAATTTATGTTTTTAACCTACCATTTTTATACCCTTGCAGGGTATCATAATTTCAGTCAGAAGATTGCAACGCAGTAAAGGAGACCTTTCCGACCCTATAAAGTATATATATTCTTGAACAGCATCAACAGCCGAGTCGATCTAGCCATGTCTGTCTGTCCGTCCGTCCGTCTGTCCGTTTCTACGCAAACTAGTCCCTCAGTTTTAAAGCTATCTGAATGAAACTTTGCATATAGTCTTTTATATACTCTCACTGCTATATATGTCGAAACGTGCCGTATCGGACGACTATATCATATAGCTGCCATACAAATGTTCGATAAATTTTTAGAAAAACAAGAAAGGAAGCTACTTCGGCACGCCGAAGTTTGTATACCCTTGCAGATATTATTTCATTACATTTTACCTATAATTATTATGTTTACAGTTTGACAGTTACAGTTTTACATTCACACCTTTACATTTTCTATACATCTACCGATCGCTCCTATGGCAGCTATAGGATATAGTTGTCCGATTTTCATGAAATTTATACCAAAATTCTAGAATAATAAAATAAGCTTATATCTCAGAGTAGATGAAAATACGTTGCCGAAGTTAGCTTCCTTTCTTGTTTTCCTATTAATTTCCCGATCGTTCCTATGGCAGCTATAAGATATAGTCGTCTGATTTTCATGAAATTTTTATCGAAATTTTGAAATAATATAAAATGGCCATATCTAAAAAATGGTGCAAAAATGTTGAAAAACAGCCAACTTATAATTTTTTTTCTAAAAATTTATCGAACATTTGTATGGCAGCTATATGATATAGTCGTCCGATCCGGCCCGTTCCGACATATATAGCAGTGAGAGTATAAAGAAGACTATATGCAAAGATAGCTTTAAAACTTAGGGACTAGTTTGCGTAGAAACGGACAGGTGGACAGACGGACAGAAGGACAGACGGACAGAAGGACAGACGGACATGGCTAGATCGACTCGGCTGTTGATGCTGATCAAGAATATATATACTTTATAAGGTCGGAAATGTCTCCTTCACTGCGTTGCAAACTTCTGACTGAAATTATAATACCCTGCAAGGGTATACAAATTATAACTTGGCTGTTTTTCAAAATTTTTGCACAATTTTTGAGATATGGCCATTTTTTATTATTTCAGATTTTCGGTGTTCAATTTATGAAAATCAGACGACTATATTATATTTTTTTTTTGTTTTTTTTCGGAAAATTAATATGAAAAAAAATATATAACTTCGTCTTTTTTTCAACGTATTTTCATCTACTCTGAGATATGAGCTTTTGTTATTATTTTATAATTTTGTTACAAATTTCACAAAAATCTGAAATCATATAGCTTCCATAGAAGCGATCGGTAAATGTAGAGAAAATATAAAGCTAGGAATGTAAAATTGTAACTGTCAAACTGTAAACATAATAAGTATAGGTAAAATGTAATGAAACTCTGCTTTTTGTGTGTCTTCAGCATTCGAATTTATAATATAAATATCAAAACCAATCTGCAAGGGTATACAAACTTCGGCGTGCCAAAGTTTGCTTCCTTTCCTGTTTTAATTATTACCAAAACGAAATTATTTAAATTAATTTTACAACACAAGAACCTTGACACTGAAAACATATTATTTTTCCTAATTTTGTATTAATTTTTTAATTTAGAAACCAGCAAAATGAAATAAAAATAAAATTCCTATTGAGACCACTTTGAGTTTCGCCCTCTAATTAACTGGCTTTTCAATTACACTTTTCTTCATTAATACAGTATTTTGTTATCGGTCCAAATAAATGTATAACTATCGATTTCCGCTTTTTGGTTTGGCTATTTGGCCCTTGATAATTCCACTAACTCACTTCTTACCACAATACACATGATTTTATAGATGGCTTGATTGTCTGATTGTCCAGCCCAAAACAGTCCTCTGCTTTAGCAAGACCGTGCAAAATGCGCGGTCTTACACAATTATTTGACTTGTTGCAGGGCTCAGTTTTCTGAGGACCCAAAACAGTTGTATAATTTGTTAAAACTAAACGTAAACCCATTACTCATCCTTCCTCACACTTTTACAACAGCCGATAATGATCAGGCAATTGCCGATCTATTTGCTCAGTTTTTTCAAACTACTTCCTCCAACTTTAGATCATCATCGTTTTAAGCCAGTCCTCTTGCCAGGTCCCGACGAAATACCTGGCTGGGTGCTTAGGTATTGTGCCGAAGCCCTGTGAAATCCTCTTCTAAAATTGTTTACCTTATCCTTAGAAGCTTTCCACTTTCCCCTTATTTGGAAGGAATCATTTGTTATTCCTCTCTACAAAAAAGGTAGCAAATTGGAGGAAAATACCTATAGAGGAATCTCTAAGTTGTTGTCCATCCCAAAACTGTTCGAAAATGTAATTTGTTTGGAGGAGGTGGCTTTAATCTGAAATGCACTCGAAATAAGAACACAGAGACTTTCGGGTTTTTGCGCGACGTGCGTCGGATGTATTTATTCGTACGAGAAGTGAACATCATTATTTGCAGCTCCTGTGTAGGTCAATTATTTCTCCATGTCAACATACGCGTGAACTTATAAAACTTAAATGTCTCTAAATGCAAGTTAATGACATTGTCCTGTGTCGATACTAAACCTACAAATTATACTCTAAACTGCTGCTCTTCGGAAAGAATAAAAATGGTTGATTCTTTGGATGTCCGTCTGTACCCTAAACTTGACTTTACGAAGGAATTCAATGACCCCTATGTTACAAAATCCCTATACACTTCAATTTTCGTCCTATCTTAGAATATGGATCTTGCGTTTGGAGCCCTCAGTACGGCGTCAAAAGATCTTTTAAATTTTCGCTTTACGCGGTTTAAACTGGGATGCAAACCAGAGGTTACCAGCTTATACTAGAAGACTCCTCTAATTAACTTATCCTCTTTATCTGATCGTAGAACCATGCTAGGTATTACATTCATATATAACCTAATCCGTGGTGACGTGGAAAGTGCTGATTTGCTGGGCCAGCTAAATTTTTATGCACCGAGTAGAAACACTAGATCCTTTATACCATAAGTTTTTCCCCACTGTAGAACATCCTTTGAACTGCAGCCTTTAAAATCTTCTGTGCAAATTATAATGATAATAATTATAAACTAAAGACTTTAATCTTAACCGACTTAGAACGGATGCAAGCAACCAATCCGGCAGCACGACAGTAGTAGTTTTCTCGCATACTTTTCTATTTATTTCCTTCGCGTCTACTTACACCTAACTCGAACTAGCAACTGCTTGGTGTCGCAAGTTCCACTTGATATGTACTGTACACATCCGCATCAAATTACAGCTGATCGATCAGCTGTGGTTCATAAAAACAAATATGGCTGAAGCGGCCAATGTTGGAGTAAAATGAATAGTTTATCAACTATTTAGGCTCTATCCCAGATACAAGAAAATGGCGTGAGGCATGGGTAGCGTATACCTGCGCCTCGAAAAGCCCCATCCCGGGGATAAGGATGCTCACACCCTGAAGGCAAGCGTGGTGGAGAAGGACCTAGGTCCTAGAAACCATCGTGGATGCCGCCCAGGGAAAAACGCTGGATGAGCCCGACGAAGGAGAGGACGGTGACCTGACCGTAGTACTCAACCCGTCTTATGGAGGTGAGCCCAGTACCCATGACACTCAGGGTGCTGCATCTCAACCTCCAAAAAAAACAAGGCCGCGTCGACGGAACTCCTCATAGCCATGGAGCAATGATTCGCCGACATAGCTTTGGTCCAGGAGCCATGGATCGCCTCAGGCAATGCCATCGGCGGACTGAAGTCCGCAAATTACA